GCTTCCTCTCTGTATAGAACCCTTTACTATAGTACCTGCCTTAATGGAACATTAAGTCTAAAGAAAACCCAGGTAATATACAAGGAAACAAGCAATATAAATAAAATAAATACATTTTGTGATTATATAATCTGGTGATGTCACGTTAAGTTGACATGACAATGATGAGAAGGATCTACACTTTTTATAAAAGATTTTTGCTTCATATATAAATTGATATTTAGGGAAAATTATGTCACTGGGGATATTCTGCAGCATGTAAAAATACTCTGTTATGAGCTGACTATTGTTCCAACTGTGACTCTGGCTTTGTTATGTATCATGTGTTAAGCTTGAGTTTCAATCATCCTGCTGGAAACTGGTTATAAAAACGTTTACATGTACCTTCAACCTTGCCTCTGGTGGATAATGAGATATGTTTTTATTTTTATAAGATAGGAGTTTCATGTGTAGGCAATGTAAGGAAAAAAAAAAAAAAACTACACCTTTAGTTAACTCTTTGTAATAATTTGTATTGTTTTTTAAACCTATTTGCTTAATTCCAGTAAAGCTATTCTATTACACACCACTGATACCGAGTGTCTAATATTGCCTTTTTTTGGTCAATGTGACATTTGGAGAGATTTAAGAACCAGCAGGTCGTCTGTCTCATCCCCCCTTTCTTCTGCTAAAAGATTAGCAATATTCGAGATAAAGATGCTCCCTCAGGTTGGTCCTGGTAGGCAGATGGCATGCACTGACTGATACATAGCTTGCAAAAGGGGAGACCAAACAAAACAAAACAAACAACAACAACAATAAAATATTTTTATTGTTGTAATCCACTGAGATTTGGGGATTAATTGTTTCCTCAGTATGGCACAGTTTCATTTGTTTGATTGACTCTTCATAAAAAAAACATGCTTACACTACCTGACTTCAAACTATACTACAAGGCTACAGTAACCAAAACAGCATGGTACTGGTACCAAAACAGAGATATAGACCAATGGAACAGAACAGAGTCCTCAGAAATAATACCACACATCTACAGACATCTGATCTTTGACAAACCTGAGAGAAACAAGAAATGGGGAAAGGATTCCCTATTTAATAAATGCTGCGGGGAAAATTGGCTAGCCATAAGTAGAAAGCTGAAACTGGATCCTTTCCTTATTCCTTATACGAAAATTAATTCAAGATGGATTAGAGACTTAAATGTTAGACCTAATACCATAAAAATCCTAGAGGAAAACCTGGGTAATACCATTCAGGACATAAGCATGGGCAAGGACTTCATGTCTAAAACACCAAAAGCAACGGCAACAAAAGCCAAAATTGACAAATGGGATCTAATTAAACTAAAGAGCTTCTGCACAGCAAAAGAAACTACCATAAGAGTGAACAGGCAACCTACAGAATGGGAGAAAATTTTTGCAATCTACTCATCTGACAAAGGGCTAATATCCAGAACCTACAAAGAACTCAAACAAATTTACAAGAAAAAAACAAACAACCCCATCAAAAAGTGGGCAAAGGATATGAACAGACATTTCTCAAAAGAGGACATTCATACAGCCAACAGACACATGAAAAAAATGCTCATCATCACTGGCCATCAGAGAAATGCAAATCAAAACCACAATGAGATACCATCTCACACCAGTTAGAATGGCAATCATTAAAAAGTCAGGAAACAACAGGTGCTAGAGACGATGTGGAGAAATAGGAACACTTTTACACTGTTGGTGGGATTGTAAACTAGTTCAACCATTATGGAAAACAGTATGGCGATTCCTCAAGGATCTAGAACTAGAAGTACCATATGACCCAGCCATCCTATTACTGGGTATATACCCAAAGGATTATAAATCATGCTGCTATAAAGACACATGCACACGTATGTTTATTGCAGCACTATTCACAATAGTAAAGACTTGGAATCAACCCAAATGCCCATCAGTGACAGACTGGATTAAGAAAATGTGGCACATATACACCATGGAATACTATGCAGCCATAAAAAAGGATGAGTTTGGGTCCTTTGTAGGGACATGGATGCAGCTGGAAACCATCATTCTCAGCAAACTATTGCAAGAACAGAAAACCAAACACCGCATGTTCTCACTCATAGGTGGGAACTGAACAATGAGATCACTTGGACATGGGAAGGGGAACATCACACGCCCTATCACGGGGAGGGGGGAGGTGGGAGGGATTGCATTGGGAGTTACACCTGATGTAAATGACGAGTTGATGGTTGCTGACGAGTTGATGGGTGCAGCACACCAACATGGCACAAGTATACATATGTAACAAACCTGCACGTTATGCACATGTACCCTAGAACTTAAAGTATAATAAAATAAATAAATAAATAAATAAATAAATAAATAAATAAATAAAATACTTAAAAAATCCCGTATATGGCCGGGCGCGGTGGCTCACGCCTGTAATCCCAGCACTTTAGGAGGCCGAGGCAGGCAGATCACGAGGTCAGGAGATCGAGACCATCCTAGCTAACACAGTGAAACCCCGTCTCTACTAAAAATACAAAAAATTAGCAGGGCGCGGTGGTGGGCGCCTGTAGTCCCAGCTACTCAGGAGGCTGAGGCAGGAGAATGGCGTGAACCCGGGAGGCGGAGCTTGCAGTGAGCCGAGATCACGCCATTGCACTCCAGCCTGGGCGCCAGAGCAAGACTCTGTGTCAAAAAAAAAAATGCCATATATGCACCTTGTAATTCAGGCCTCCTTGCTGCTTGATATAAAGAAACAAACAAAATGTATACAAAATTGGAGATTCAACTGAAAAACTGAGTTCTCCCTTATAGCTAAAGGTTTATATAACCAATACTAAACTCAACACATTTTCATTAGTCTCAGTATTACATTGTAATGATGTTGTACCTCAAACTAGATGGAAATTTCTTAAACATCACACTTTATACTTCCAGTATGTCCACAGACCTTCCTAACACTGCTACTAATAAGCACTTATTAAAGTACAATTTTTCTAAAAAAAGATATATTTGAATGATAAAAATGGAAAATATAAGAGTATGTTGAATCCTAAGAGCAAAGATAGAAAAGAAAATAAATACGCTGTAGAGATTTCCATTAAAAGGAAGAATGATGAATAGTGCAAGAGATTTAGAGAAATGATTACCATAGGAGATTCTTGAGAGGAAAGACGGAAGCGGCATTTTTAGAAAACAACAAATGAACAGAGGGCAAGTTAATACTGCCTCTATAATAATGGATCCTTTTCTGTTATTTTACTTGTTTAGGTATTAACTGGTAAATGGAAACATTTACATTTATGAATAAAGTGCCGTTTTTTCTGTTCAGTGTGAAAATATGTCACATATAGTATCTAAGCCTAAAGATATAATGGGATCATATAACACCCAGACTGTCTAAACATCCAATTTGTAAATACTGTTAGAGAAAACTTGGGGATAGTAGCCTTATGTGGTTCGCATCTTAGAATTAAGTATGTTCATTAATGAAAACTACTTTAGAAGTGTTACGTGATCAGTTGTGGGCAGTTTTTCTAACTCTGCCAGCCCCTTCCAGTTCTCCCCCACAATCCCTTAGGAATATCAATTTCATTTATCTATTTGTATTTTATGTTACTGTTTTGCTTGTTTTTGGTCTTTTTTGTCTCCCTCTTCTTTCTTTCCTCTTTATTTTCCTTCTTCTTCTTAAATAATTTTTCAAATTATATATTTTTTGCCTAGCAGTCAGTTACTTCTTACATATGAATCCTCCTTGTCATCAATTTGCTTACCCAAAAGATGAAGTAGCATCAATATTTAGAAGCAAAAATCTAAAACTTTTATTAACTATACATTTAAAAATAATTTATGAAGTGTAAATCCACTAAATTCAGATATTTATAAAATGTAGTCCACACACACACACTACAGACATTTGCAAAACATTAATTTTGTTTAGTACTCAAATTAAAATATGATTATTATGGTTTTATTAAATATGTTCATAAAAAATTGGGAAAAAAATGAGGCATTGCTTTTAAGATGTGAAATTCACTGATTCTTTTAAAAATTAAAAACTGTAATAAAAAACAATTTTAAAAATATTAAGACAGCAAAGTTTTCTGAATTGTATTGTTAAAAGTGCAGATAAAATAACCTTTCTCAGTTTCCCATTTAAATTATCAGCTTAAAGGGTAATCATGTGAAGTAGAGGACTTTTGAATTATTTATGAATGCATTGCTTGTGTAGGGAGTTCTATATGCAGTTGCATTTCTCTTTTTGACTTTGTCTAGTGAGAGGCAGCCAATTCATTGAAAAAGATTAAACATAAACACATTCGCAGAAATTCATAATGGTCTTAGGAGGAAAGGCAGCAAGGGCAATAACAACTGTAGCAGGGCTAATCCCAAATTTCAATGGCCATCATTTAATTATTTTAGCTTTTCAGTTCAAGTAATGTATCTCTTTTTGAACCCATCACATTTTGTTAATTACCACAAACTGCTCTCCTGAAGTCAGGGTCAGCACTGAGTTGCGGTCTTTTCACAGATTTCATATACTTAGTACTTAAAATGACCCCTATGATTGATAGTGTAGTAAAGCTATTTTACCGGTTGGCTAAACGCATTCATACTATGTGTGTTTTTTAATGAAAAATCTTTTCTTTTGAATTAACATTTTAAACCTAGTACTTGCGTTGCCAGAAAACATAAACTTTATAGGTTCTTCAAAAACTTTTGTTTTTCAAATTCTTACAGCACTATGTGAATTTAATGGTAGCCTATTACATATAATATTTGTTAATATACCACAGGACATATTTAAGACTTGCCACACTGAAGGTATTGTGGATTACTGAATTAGAATTTATATCCCAGGAGTGTTTTGTAGATTTCTGTGCCACATTCAGGTAGGATAATTCTTTTGCTAAATACTCCCAAATAATAAATGAGTCTGAAGTTTCAGTATAGGTAATTTGTAGATCAGTGATGTAAAATATAAATATGTAAAGCACTAACAAATAAAGTCATATCATATTTAATTTGTTTATTGAACCATTACTTCATTCACGTTTCAAGGGTTTATTGACTTTAAATAGAAGAGATACAGCAATCTTATTGAGAAGAAAATATAGTCAAATATCTAGCTTCCTTGATCACTTTGCTGTGACAGTCTTAGAACATAAAATGAGACAAAATTTTACAAATCTATGGTAGTTGAAGAAAAGCTCATTAAGAACGTACTCATTACTATAGTTTTAGCCCTTTGACAACATGATACACAGACAAAATTAGTGAAGATATGAATTATGCAATGAAAACAGTGTCAAATGTATATGACTCATGGTAGATCTTAATAGGCTATATGTCAATAGTGAAGTGTCAGTTACATCTACTCAGTTCCATGTCCTTTAGAGGAATAGGCTTCCCGACACTACTTCCTTGTCCACATTAGGTTGTCTAATGGGGTATGTAATAGTCAGGCATGATCGCTGATAGGTTCATGGCTGGATAGAGGGTGTAGAATCTAAAATAGCTCAGCAGTGACTCCTTTCAACTCTTTTTACATTGTTTTCTGGTCCTCCTCATGTTCTGTGTTTTTTCTTTCACTGTTGGATGGTGGGGTTAATTTATTTCTCCTTCTCATTCCATGTCTTATCATGTCTTTAGGTGATGAAATATTTCCTTTAAAAATATGCATTTATATTGTCTGTTCCACACTTTGTTCAATTACTTTATTTGAACTTTTAAGTACTCCTTCTGTATTGCTTCAGGTACTAGAAAGAAAGCTAGATGGAAATAAAATACACAAAATTCACTGGTTAATACCTTGTGATATAACTTTGCCAGACAATTGAAATAATTTAATAAAATAACATTACATATTATAAGAATGTAAATCAAGCTTTTCAACCTGCAGCTCACGGGCTGCATGTGACCCAAGACAGCTTTGAAGGTGGCCCAGCAGAAATTTGTGAACTTTCTTAAAACAATATGAGATTTTTTTAATGTGAATTCTTTTTTAAGCTCTTCAGTTTTTGTTAGTATTAGTGTATTTTATGTGTGGCCCAAGATAATTCTTCTTGTTCCAATGTGGCCAAGGGAAGCCAAAAGATTGGACACCCTTGACGGAAGTCCTTGTTCTCTACAACTGAAAAGTTGGAGAGAGCATCATATTTCATGGCTTGTTCACGAAGTATCTTCTAACAACCTGCAAAGGTTACATAAACATTTTCAATATACAGCACTTCAAAACAGGGGACCCCAAACCCCAGGCCATAGTTTGGAACCAGTCTACAGCCAGTTAGGAACCAGTATGCACAACAGGAGGTCAATGGCAGATGAGTGAGCAAAGCTTTATCTATATTTACAGCCACTTCCCATTGCTTGCATTACCACCTGAACTCTAACTCCTGTTAAGATCAGCGGTGGCCTTAGAACCTCATGGTATCTCAAACTTTACTGTGAACTGCACATGTGAAGGATCTAGGTGCATGCTCCTTATGATAATCTAATGCCTGATAATCTGTCACTCCCTCCCATCATCCCCAGATGGGACCTTCTAGTTGCTTGAAAACAAGCTCAGGGCTCCTACTGATTCTACATTATGGTACATCATATAATTATTTCATTATGTATTACAATGTAATAATAATAGTTATAAAGTGTGCAATAAATGTAATGCATTTTAATCATCCCTTAAACATCCCCTCTGCCCATCTGTGGAAAACTGCCTTCAATGAAACCAGTCTCTGGTGCCAAAAAGATTGGGGACTGCTGCTTTAAAAGGCTACTATATGCTTCCAATTACAAGTTCCAAACTATCTTCTGGAGAATTAGAACTTGTTCAAATCCATCAAGATAGTAAGTGACTAAGTCAATATTTCAACCTAGGTATAAATAACTTCCATGATATCTTTCTTTCTGTTTGTCTGCTCTGCCTGACAGCATTGTATTGTATTGGGGGAAGGGGATTTTATCATTTAGTTTGCTTAGCAATTTTTTTGTTATTTTATTTTTTTGACATAGAATGGCAAACTTAGTTGACTTCATCATAGCAATATCACAAATACCTTATAACTGAAATCTAGTTACTACTAGTTATTGTATTGCTGTGTGTGACAATCATTATAAGAGTTAACCAACATAATTTTCACTCAGTCGGACTTTTTTTCCTCATTTTCCTAGTTCTTGGTTTTGTTTGCTTGGTGGTGTTGTTACTGGTGGTGATCTGGTTTTCTTTGTTTAAGAAGTTTCCTCATAACTCAATATAGATGGAATCATCAATAACAATGCCTCATCTCTCAACAAAAAGGTGGGCTTAGAACTCAGAGGGAGCCTATTAGAACTCTGCATCCACAAGATGGGCCAATAAGATTATTCCCTGAAACATATTAGGTAGAGTCCATGGAAAAAGGCACACAGTAACTTCCTCTATAACACACAAAAAAAGGCCCTTGAACTACTAAGTGGCTATATAGTATGGTAGCAAGGAAGAATGATAGTTGCAAAATAAAACCAATTTTCAGAGGGAATTACAGATTGATACAGGGCTCTGAAATGACCATTTAAGACATTAGATTCTTTTGTGCTTGAAGTCATTTCTAGGGAATAGACAAATTTCCAAGCTTTGTTAGTCAAGTTGCATTGTGTTACTTTTGTCACTGATAACTGAGTTTTGGCAAGTAGAGAAATTATTATGTACAAGTATGCTTCTAAAGTAACAGTATATTAAATATTGCTATGGATAAAATAGAATTGGCGGCAATTTTTTACTTAGTCAGTGAAACATTAACAATCTTCATAATATGCCGATTAAGCAGGTGACCGGTTGTAGTAATAGATGTTGCGTTTTAGAAATCGAACTGTATACTTCTCAAAACTGAAGTTTTAGAGGATTACTAGAAAATTTCTATATATTGGGGTGGATTGATTATTTACAAAAATCTCTTTTCTCAAAATAAAATCAAGTTAAACACATTCTGTTTTATGTTTCATTCCTTTCAGTTTTTGTGGTTAGGGAAAATGGAAAGGTACAGATTATTCTAAAATTTTCTAGAGAATAAAATGCTTAATTTATGAGGATAAGTGATAGGAAGAGTTCTTGATTTTTCATGTTGACAAAACGGATTATGTTTTTATTGATTTAGACAAGTAAATTAAGTATAAGGTGATTTATTTAGGGACTAAATTAACATTACATTTTTTTTTTAACAGTTCAGAATATAATAGGTTAATTAAGGTATTTCTCTGGTCCAGAAGACCTCTCTTGAATCTGCTTTTTACAGCTCTGCTGACTGGGAGGCCTTTCACAAGATAAGGGTGCAGGAATTATTGTTAGAACAGGACAGTTGGGGCCTGTGGAGAGCGGTGGGAGGTGAGGACGGGGTGGTAAAACTGCATCTCCAATTATACTTTCTGCTTTTAGTTTCTTTGTTACACATAAATTGGTTCCTTAATTTATTCCTTTGAGGGTTAAATTTTAGTTCAAATTTCTGTTAACTTTTATATTTTTTAATTTAAAATTTCAAATACATTAAAAAAAAATCTAAATCTAGAGAATTGTAGCAAACAAAAATTAAAATGTCCCATAATCCCACGAGTCAGAGGCAATCAGGCTGATAAAAGTCTCTTGGTCATTATTTGATGTGTAGGTCCTACTCTCCTTTCCAAATTAGGATTGACTGAGGCCACAGAGTAGTATCCTATTAGTCGGAAAGAATTCTAATTATAAATAATAGCAAAACCTACAACAGGGGCTTTAAAAAGCAGCGCTAGAGAAATCACCATAAGGTCAGGTTCTTCTCATCTTTGTATTTCCCCAGTCTTAGAATAAAACTCTTTGTTTAAAACATCCCATATTTTAAAGACAGGTGCTTGCCCTGAAAGCATCACATCCACGTTTTAGGTAGAAGAGTAAAGGGGCATCTGAAGCAAGTGTGGTTTTTTTTTAGAAACTCTCATCTCTTCCTGTAGCCTCAGTTTCTTAAAATCAGCACTTGCATATATAAGACCTAAAGAGTTATTCTGGGAAGTGGTCACGTGGAAGAACAAGGAATAAAAAAGAGTCACGCGGTTAAGAAGCAGCAGCCAACCTAAGGGCACGTGATTAAGTTGATTATCACAGTGGGCCTTAATCCTACTGTATAGAATGTATCTTGGAATCCTATCTCGAAAAAGAAAAAGCCACTTTCTCCACTTATTCCTGCATCCTACCCTCATTGGACAAATGTCATCCCAGAGGTAATTAACTCCTTCTCACTTTGCTATTATCATACATGCCAGAGGAGTTGAGCGAGCTTGGTCAGGTAGGCACCCCACGCAGCATGAGCCAAGTAGACCCAGGCAAAAATCTATTAGTACTTTCCTAGCTAGATTTAATGAGACTCTATTGATCATTTATTAATTTATTTTATTTATTTATGAACATATTTCATCAATCTTTCTACACTAAGATAGTATTCTATTTTTCCTTTTATAACTTGTGTTATATTATCACAATTAATTCATTATTCTGCCACATTTGCTCTAGTAATGGTCATCAGTTTCTGTTTTGATGTTTTTCAGACACATGATATCAATTTCCAAATAAATTATTTAATTTTTTCTTTTTACACTAGACTTAAAACTATAAAACTTGATTTTTGCCTTATATCAACACCATTTACTTACTCAAAAAATTTAATATACTTCAGCAAATTTTTATTATCTCTTTATTTTTATATAGATCTTCATAATTTTATCTGAATCCTTTGGTTTATATTATACAATTTTGTTACAGTTTTCCTACTGTTAATTAATGTCTTTCCACCATTATATTTTTAAGTTGCTCTTTCCATTATAAGAAAGAAAGCTATTTAAAATCTGTATACCTGGCCAACTTCCTTACTTCTATAACTTTCCAGGTTTAATTGGATTTTTTGAGGTGTTCGAAGAAACAATTTTTTTTTTTTTTTTTTTTTTTTGAGATGGAGTCTTGCTCTGTCGCCCAGGCTGGAGTGCAGTGGCGCGATCTCGGCTCACTGCAAGCTCCGCCTCCCGGGTTCACGCCATTCTCCTGCCTCAGCCTCCCGAGTAGCTGGGACTACAGGCGCCCACAACCGCGCCCGGCTAATTTTTTGTATTTTTAGTAGAGACGGGGTTTCACCGTGGTCTCGATCTCCTGACCTTGTGATCCGCCCGCCTCGGCCTCCCAAAGTGCTGGGATTACAGGCGTGAGCCACCGCGCCTGGCCGAAGAAACAATTATTATTTCTGTTTTTCACTTCCTGCATTTACTACCTTCAATGAAAATTTTACATTTACATTGACTTTACTGGGAATGACTCTAGCACAAGGTATTCTGCAAGACCATGATAGATACATATAAAAAATTTCACTGGATGAGTAAGTTGAAGAGAATGAAGGTCAGGCACAGTTGAATAGCACCTGTAAACTAATTACTCATGTAAATTTGAGATATTATTGTTTTTTATTACATCGCTTTGTCTTCACAATTTTTATTTCCTATAGCAAATTCCCAATGAGTTTTTGTATGTTTAATATGTACCTACAGAGGAATTATCATAGTTTTAATTTAATAATTACTTGTCAATTTTTGGATATTTCATGTATTGTCCACTGAAGTATCAATTGTCTATTAGCTTTTTAAAATATTATTTTTAATTGAAAAGAAATATTTAATTTTAATATAATTAATCAATATTTTTTCCTTTGATGTTTAAAGAAATCTTTATCATCCCTAATTGACTACCTGTGTCACAAAGATAATTTTCTATATTGTTACTGCTAATTTTATTGTTATACAGTTCAGCTTTTATGTATCAAGTATTTGAATTATATCTTCAATCCATGATATATTAGTTCTCTTCAATGTGTGATGGTAGATAAGGATCAAATTAGGTTTTCTTCAACTACATGATAAGTCCCTTCTTCCATCACCATCTATAAACATTATCTCTTCTCATTGATTTCTGGGGCTCTTTATCATATAACAAGTATCTTTACGCACTTGCACCTGTCCCTAAGATATTTGTTCTGTTCCACTGGTCCAGCAATTCGTTCATTCATTACTATGTCATTTTTTCCAGATTTACTGAGGAAGGAGTAACAAAAATTCCATAGATGTAAAGTGTGCAGCACGATGTTGTGAAATGAATATTACCGTTAAGCTAATTAATATACAAATACCTCACATAGTTATCCTTTTATAATAAGAACACTTGAGATTTACTCTTAGCAAATTTCAAGTATATATTAACTAAGTCAGCAATATGTATGTTAGATTTCCAGAACTGCTTGATTTTATAACTGAAAGTCTGTACTCATTGAACAATATTTTCCCATTTATCCCATCTGCTAATCACTATTGCACACTTTGTTTGTATGAGCTTGACTCTTTTAGATTTCATATATAAGTGAGAACATGCAGTATTTGTCTTTCTGTATCTGGCTTATTCACTGACTATAATGTTCTCCAGGTTCATCTGTGTTGTCACAAATACCAGGATATCCTTTTTAAAGAAGTGAATATTATGGGATTGCTGGATAACAGGGTAGATCTATTTTTATTTCATTAGGAACTTCCATACTTATTTTAATAATGTTTGTATCAATTTAGATTCTCACCAACACTGTATATGAGTTCCATTTTCTTCACATCCTGGGCAATATTCTTTTTATCTTTTGACTTTTTAATAATAGGCATCCTAATAGCTGTTAGGTTATATCTCAATGGTTTTGATTTGCATTTCCCTGTTGATTATGGATTTTGAGAACTTTTCATATACTTGTTAATCATTGTGGGTATTCTTTGGAAAAATGTCTATTCATATCTTCTGTAAATTGGGCTATGTATTAGTTTATTATAGAATTGCAGCACTTTCTTATGTATTTTGGATATAAACCTTTTATTATACGTGTAGTTTGCAAATACTTTCTTCCATTTCATATGCTGTCTTTTAATTTTGTTAATTGTTTCCTTTGCTGTGCAGAAAATGTTTGCCTCGATGTAGTCCCACTTGTTTATTTTTGCTTTTGTTGCCTGTGCTTGTGGCAATATGTTCTAAAACTTATTGCCAAGAGCAATGTAGAAGATTTTTTTCTCTCAAAAATGTTATAGTTATAGATCTTACCTTTAAGCCTTCAATGCATTTGAGGTTTTTTCTGTATGTTTTAAGGTAAAGATCCAGTTTCATTCTTTTCATGTGGTTGTTCAGATTTCCCAACATTTATTGAAGAGACTATTTTTCCCCATTATGTATTCTTATTGAAGATATGTTGACCACATATGA